TTAGATAACATCACATTGTGATGCTGTAATACAACAAAATGTAAATTCCGACTCCGGCGTTGTCCTGTTCTCGACTAACTATGCGACGTATTCAGTGATGAGACGAATAACCTTACAGAGAGGAATATGCAAATTACAGAGTTTCCAGCTAAGTGCGAGGTCGTGTAATGAATTCGAATCTCATTTAACGTATAATTTCCAGCAACATTTATCACAAAATCTAATATCGCTTGCGGATAAAATGGCATAAATTCCTCGCGTTATAGTGTCTTTAACTAAATAACACGCATACTTTGTCTGCAAATGTATTATATTAGATATAACGCTCAAGTTGTTGCGTTATTTAATAATATCATTTCTTTTTATCGTTAAAATTGTTTAATTACATGAATTATTACAAGAGTAGAGAATGGCAAAATAATTTTCTGATTATACGTAAATAATATGAGAGTAATTTATTAATTTATTAACGTGAACGAATTGTTATTTCCCGCTCCCTTGTTATTATCCACCAAATGTTCGAACAACATACGTGTTATACGATGGTCGGGCTTACACAACGAATTGACTACTAGTTCGGTTGATGGCGTACAAGCCATCAGATATGTCGGGCGAAGGAGCGTTTTGTTTCCTAAATTACGGCCGGTGATTTACTTGAAGGATATACGAGGACGGAGGACGAGAATTCTCCTTCAAGGGATGAGAATAGGAGTAAAATGATAGCTGCGACATAAATGTTCTGTAATATAATACAGGATTTTCATAAATTTCGATATCTTTGCGAGGCAAGCGAAGTATGTATATAATATTGTGAAGTTCTTTTCATTTCAACTGTTATGATTTCATAAATGGATGAGATTAATGGATTTTGATTTATAATAAGTCGAAATATAGTGTTGCATTATTTGTTAACAGTCTAACGTGCAATAATAACAAGACGAAACAGTTTTAATACTGCTTCCATAATAATGAAAGCAATATTTTTGTTCTGCGCCACTAAATGAAAACAAAAAGTCATTAATAAATAAAGATCCCAATTTTAAATATTTAATTACTTTTTTACTTTTAACTTATCAAATTACAAATTAATTTTATTCCTGTATTTATCTTATTTTATGATTTATGATCATTTACATAATCAACCTTCTTCCGACAGTTTTGGCTCTGAAATTGGACTACATTTTAATTTATAGAAACTCTGCTGATTATTCTCGATAGACGAATTCAAGAATCTATGATTAATTACCCTTCAAGATGCATTATATATGTACACGAAGCAGCGTCAAGGGTATCATTTCTTTGTGAAACTACCTTCAAGTGGTACTTGAAGCGCTCCTTAAGGGCCATGATGCTTGTCAAACGGCTCATTACCTCTTTTATTCGACGCAGACTATTAAGAAAAAAATTCACCCTCAAATATCTTTTCATTCGTTGCGATTACGGAGTTTAAAAAGAGAAAATACTAACTGCGAAAAACACCTTTATTATTTTCTTAATACTGAGCAAAACGACAAAGATAATTGATGCAATAAAATTAAAGAAAATATTTCTTATTCGACCTAGAAAAAGAGTTTCAAAGAGGAATATCAAGTAAATTTTAAATGAACAGAAAGCTATCGACAGCTCATGCTTAATAAATCACTTTAACTGACAAGAATTTTTACTTTTCCGATAGATATTAGTTACAATCTTTTCTTTATTTTCAACGCTATAGCGATATTTCTTTTTTATGTTAACTGTGCACTTTGCTTATATCTTATCTGAAAGTCCTATTTGAAAATGTCTAAAATGTCTGTCTAATTATCCACGTGATAACTTATCTCTTATTTGTAACTTCTCTTCCGTAGATTTAAACGGACGCTAGTTAATTCTATCCCTCGTAAGAACCAAGAGCGTTTTTCCTTGGCGTACATACGTCAGCTACGATCCATTCGTTTTACGCTGGCGGCAGTGTTTAATTTGCATCCTTCGCGTTCCGAAAATCCACTACTGGCCGCAAATTTCCCGTTACGCAGCTCAAAGTTCTAGCGCGTTGAAAGTTCCTTCGCTGGACGAAGGAAAAATGTGTACGAGGAAACGGCTGGTTATGACCGTTCCGCACCGTCTGTTTTATATTTCCGTCGGTATAGTGGGTCATAAGCTCGTTTTTTTCCAACAGCGCGTCTTTCAGATACACGCGTATCTCGCAAAGTTGAGATAAATGCGTCGATTCGATACGTCGGATAAAAAAAATACATCGGAACAACGTTCGAGAGTAGAGCAACATGACGAAAGTACGTGTAATTTCCACCGCGATGTAACTTGGCCCATCAGAATTTTCTTTTCCTTTTTCCCGCAATACCAATCGATTTTCTCCGTGCCAATTTCTGCGCTTATCAGAAACTCCGTAATATCTTTATTACTTCTTTGAAGCTTTTTATATTAACCACCGTCTGTGTGATCTTATGAGATCTGTGTTATCTATTAATAATTAGATATAAAACTTCAAAATATTGTATTCCGAGGATACTAATTGTATCGACAATTGTATCTACAATTTGTGCTCTGTTGTTCTCATTTTATATTCATTTTCTAAGATTTGACTTCTTTTAGAAGTTCTCTTCGCCTTTATTTTTATATTATTATTTCTCTTATCTTGAGTGACATCTGAAATTGCTTTTGTAGGAGTTGGAAACGCAACGGAGTTTAGGTATTAATATCCGCATTCTCTTTGAACGTCCCCAAGGCCTACCTGTCATATCAGATTATGTCAATACCGATAGGGAATCATATTCGTAGGTTGCGTTCAAGAATGTTATGTATTTCTGTTGCAAAAGGGAAGAATATTCGCATTGTTAAGACTTATATAATTTGAAATAATTTTTTACAGTACACTTTTCTATATTAATATGTATTCTATATTAATATTTATATGTACGATATTTTGACAACATTACTTTGATAAGTACGTAGATTTAATTAAATATTGTTTGTTTTTTAAATGCATATTTTATATTTCTAGAAAATAGAGTTTTGTTACAAAAATAAAAAATAATAATTTTAAAACAAGAAAGAAGACAATGCATTTTTCTTGGTTATTATATTTTAAAAATATTTGAAAAAATGTTTAATATTACAATTTATTTGTTATTGAAAAATAAATTATTTTGTGGCAATAACAATTAGAGAGTAACGAAAAAAAAGATAAAAACTGAAGGATAGCACTAGTAAGGTCAAACATTGCGTATTATTTTTGGGGGAAAAAATATATATCTCTCACAAAAGTAAACGCAATTTTTTTCCGATACTATGGCGCAATGGTACACGAATATACAATATTTTTGGGCGACCAGTAATCTCGCCAGTTATTGGCGTGGAGTTTCGAGTAAAGTGTAATTTCTGTACCGGATAACAAGAGCTGCGTTTCTGCTTTTGAAATTAAAACAATTCCACGAAATCTATTATTATACGAACTTATTCAGAAAAATACGCAGCTTTTGAAAAACACATTTCTTTTAATTAAAAAGTTAAATATTCCATAAACTTTGCATTAAACTGTTTCTTATTTATTCTTGCTCGACATTATTATGACATTCTACTTCGGGCGCTGGTGCCGACATGTATATTACGGAAATGAACGTAAGTACTGCTGTTGTACTTCCTCTCGTCAGTACTCAGACGAACAATGAAAATAGCAAGAGAGAAATTGTACTTGCGCTGCGCGAGAGAGGCGCGTTTAAGAAATCGAGCGCGGAGTGAGGCAAAAAAAGTGGAGATTAAGGAGAGAAGAGACGGCATCCCTTATCTTGTAACGGTAGCGGGCATCGCGTAGAGACGGCGCGGAGAGTCACATTAAGAGATAAAAGATTCCCCAGTTGTGTGGAATTTACGACCAGTTTCGCCGGCGCTCGACTCACGTTTGACAATTACAAAAAAATTCTTTCGCCTGAATTTTATCGGCGTTAAGTGTAAAATTCATGCCCGCGCGCCGCACTGCCCCAACAGAACGATAAAGTAATTACAGAGAATGTAATAACGGTCGGGCTGATTTATAAGAAGAATAATTGGAGCGATTATCAGCGCCGAGGAGGAGGAGCGTAGCAGAGAGGACAAAAAGTTGACTGTAATCGCAGTAATTGATAAAATAGCTCTATTTATAATCCAAAGCGCTTGACCACTACGTTTCTGTAGATAAAAGTCATATCAGCTGCGTTTAATGTTTGTTCATGTTTCATGTTTCCTCGCGTGCACACTCGCTGAGTAATGAAGAGGGAAATGAGCGCTCTGCTGCAGAATTGGCGGTGGTAGAGAATCTTTTATTTTACCATTAGCGTTGCGGCAATGGTTGCAATAAAACTTAAGTTACAACGTTCTAACGTTCTAAAACGACTCTGGCGTTTTGTGGCGCGCGGTTGTTTGCCCGCCGCTCGTGTTTGCTCTCTTGTGGTCCACGGCGCAGTACATATGCACATATATGCCATATATGCTCCTTCATGCATATGCAAGTCGGTCACATTATGCATTTGTCGCATGTGCTACGCGTAGTCGTCAAATTGCGTCGCGTCGAGTTACCATGCGGACGCGAATGTAATCTCCGTAGATCTCGCGGAACAGAATGAATTTTCGACGTATGGAAAAAAAAGTATTCCGAACGAGAATGGCCGTCGCGATAACGCATGCCGGCACAAATGTATTATTTCGCGGCTCGCTAAAATACTTTCGACGTTTATGGCGCTTTGTCGATCGGTGACTGTTCGTTTAATTATCACCGTCTATTCATATGTGGAAATCAAGTTTGCATATTCCATGCTTAACAGATCAAAAGCCTTCGGCTTGCTTTTTCAATGTTCAATTACAGTTTGCTTAACATAAAACAAAAATGTGTTCCTTTAAATCTGTAATCTTAATTAATTCGTGAACTCTCTCTCTTTTAACTTGGGTTTATAGAAACGATGGTATAAAAAACAAAATATTATTGACGTTCAACAAAGGAAAATATTTGTTACATGCTATTGTTGCAGGGTCGAGAAAAACAGAACATCTGAATGATGTGAGAGGAATATATGGACGGACACCAAACGGACTGGGCAGACTCGGCGAAATCACGAACACGTGGCGGGACGTGAAGCGGGGTGAGTCGATAAATCAAGCTTCAGCCTACGCCTGTAATTTTATTTAGCAAGCTATTTTCTAGAGCCACAATATAACGCGCCATAATTTTTTACATTTACAATAGAAATGCTACATTTAACACAACGACGTGCGGAGATCAACGATTTTACATTGCCGTGTTTATTTTTAATTTCTCCATCTTTAAATTATATTTAATCACTGCTCATTCCGCAGCATTTTTATTCTGCAGTTTATAAACTCGTGGATAAAAATAGAAAATTATTACCATGAGAGTGAATTGTATAAGGATTACAGTTAGTTTTTAACGAAAACAAATTGTGTATACAATTAGCGATATTGCATTAATTTATAAACTGCCACTATTAAAATACCACGTGCGCTTTTAATTTTTATTTTTATTCAGTTAGATTATAATGCTACATTTTCAGTGGAAAAAATTTAATAGAAAAATCGTATCTTTGATTAGAGGCCATGAAAAACTACAATGGTGAAGATAAATGAGACCCAATAAATAAAATTTTGTGCGATCTGAGTCTCCTTGAACGCGTTGTATATAAGCGTTCGAATTTCACCTCACGTACGTATCACATGGTAACCCAGATGACGGATGGGGAACGGAAAGAGCGGCGATCGTTCAGCGAAACTTCAATTTCCAAGTTTGAGATAAATTTTGCTTCTTATGAACTTTTGTTTTAACGAATAAAATCGTCTCGACAAACGCTTCTCGCTGAAAGCTTCGACAAATTTCAACATGTTGTCAAACGATCTTCGAAACTTTATATTAAAAGGAAATATTTATTTTCCGATTAACTTTATAAATGTGGTTTCTTTTAAAAAAATTGTAAGATATCTAATTATAAAGTAAATTTAAGAAAGTATAGATACATATTTAAATGAGATTTTCAAACGCTTATTTATCGAGAAACGCAAATAGCGAGACTGTATGTCAGAGAAAATCGCGTACCTGTTCTATTTAATAACGGAAACAAAAATGTTCGCAAAAAGTCTTATGAAATTAAATCAAGAACGGAAGCAGTGCAAGCTAGGTCAGACACTCTTGATCCTTTTTGTCCTGAAACGGTTAGAGCAGTGCTCCGGTAGCTTGCCAAATTCCCTAAGGACTCCGCATCTCCTATAAATATGTATGGTGGCGTCTCCAATTTCCTGGGAAAGAGCTATCGAATGCCAAGCGGACTACATCGCCTGAAAATGCTAAGCAAGCTCCGCAATGTGCCGTAATTATACCACAATTATACTAGCGGGGTTATTTAATTAGAAATTCCTTTCTGAAAATCCACTTGTGAATTCTTTTTGCTATTAACATTCTTAATTCCAAGTTATTCCGATTAAACTTACATCGCAATTTCATCTCGCAAAGTGATAGGGAAAACGAAGAATGATGGTTTATTCGTCTAGATTTGATACCAAATCATCTACATGAGAAAAGTGTACGAATAGTTACGATAAATGTAGTTAAAAATTTGCGCGACATTTGCTGCAAGAAACAGATATACATTTGTTCCTCACAATATAAAGATAAATTTATTCGATTTAAAAGTGCAAGATGTAATCTGTTATTTTCTGCCTTTTTTTAGCGCTGAGCCTGCTCTGCGTAAAGAAATTTTCCGGCAGCGCGACAATGCTGGAGGCGCCGCCCGGAAGTCGCGAAGACCTCGTAGAGGCGGCAAGAACTCCATGTACACCCACCGGTAAGTGACGCTGCGCTTTATCATAAAGTTCGAAGGGAGTTTCGGGAGTTGAAATTTATTACTTCGCGTAAACACGCTCCGTACGGATAGTTCTGTGGGTTCCGAAATAAATAGCCACAATTTGACGCCGTTGTACGCTGCCAATAGTTGTCGTGATTGCAAAGACTATAACAGTAAATTCTTCGTCACGAGAAATCCGTGAAATATAAATGAAAGTTAGATACAAATATAATAATTGTGAAAGTGAAAGTTTTTTTTACTAGTTTGAATTGTTAGACAAAATTTAAGAATTACGTTGCGCTAGCAAATATCTATTTCCCAAGAAAAAGTCATTCAAGAAGCGAGATTCCGTAATTATAGAAACTTCTCCGGTATGGAAACTGATAAACTTTTCATTGTCTATTCACGTTCACCCCTTGAACTTTATCACCGCACCGCCGACGACTATCATTCACTTTTCGGAAGGGTGACATAACAAATTACCCCCGACCAGCCCATAATTATCCTCTCGTTACGTCTCATCAGATTGCATTCCGTAGCTTCCGTTTCCGAACGCAATAAATTAATTTCTTCTCTTATTTTCACCCGCACCTGCTAATTACAATCTTGCCCGGTAACATCGTTAGAAAATCACCGGCGAGAAATATTCTCTTAGGGTCGGCTTCTCGATGCATCCTTTGTGCCGGCGTAAAAGCACCCCCTTGCGCGGGGAGGGATGCAAGCCGCGAGACGCCATTCTCCCTCCCTCGAACCGGTATCGCCGACGGTAATTGACACCGTTTTCACGGCTAAACCGCTTTCCAATTTTCCCCTTATTTTCACGACGTAATAACTTACCGAGCCTGGCGTAAGTTTAGCCACGGGGTAGGTCAAGGGAGTGAAAGCCTGTTGGCGGTAGCTAACGATGTACGTTATATACATTCTTTAGAAGTCGCCGCCGAGACAAGCTCTCATTGGCGATCGAAGCGTAAATCACTATGGCTTCCTGAAATAACGTGTCAACCCCTCGCACCGCCAACGCTCCGAGTCCTTGCCGGATGAGCTTCGATCACTCGTCAGCAGCTGCGGCAAGAATTACCGGCCGGCGCTGCGAGCTCGGCCCGTCAAAATTAAAATCGCGGGGCGGATAACAGTTTGTCATTAAAATTGAAAAGCTATTACAGTCGCAAATGAATTGTGCAAAAGTTGCAGCGCTCTGAACCAGTACAGAGCGCTGTTAAATCAATAAACCGTTATTTTTAATTTACTAAATTTACTTCGATATTGTGAAAAATTCGGGTAAAAAATTCGATACAGTTTTGCAAAAATGGTGCAGTTTGCGCAACTAGTCCCGACTAGCCAACGAAATATAGACCGCTCGAAACGATCGATTCTTCCCTTCGGCACATTTTCGGTCTCCATTTTTCCGCAGCATCGGGACCTCATAAATCTCATGAGAAAGCACTCTCGCGAGTGCGCTCTCTTACGAGCGGGCGACGCGCGCGATGATGATCGAGATGTAGATCGAAAAAATTGGCGTCGCTGTGGAATAAAGGCGTCTGGGAGTCCCGCAGGACACGACCTCCGGTCTTGTGTCCCGACGCGGGATTTCCATCTTCGCTTCATAAATCAAAATGTCATCGATTTCGCGGCGGTCGCCCGTCCTACATCGACCTCCTTGCTTGCGAGCCACCGCCCACCGGGAACGCGGAAAAAGTAAATAACGACCGACCGAAAAATGTTGGCGTGTGTTAAAGAGCTTGGTCTTAAAAAGTTTCGAAGGGTCCTCCTCTTCGTCTTTGTTCTTTCTTTCTCTTCGTTAGTCCTCCGACCGAGGTGGCCGTTCTTTTGCCTGCGAGGCAGCCCAGAAACTTTGGTAATTACGCGGAATTAAGCTACTTAAAATTTATAACGTGACCGGCTTGACACATCGGTAAAAAGCAGGACGAACGATCAGGTGCAAGGCGGAAAAAGTAATCATATAATAAAATGTGTGTATTGAATAAAAATTTAGGTCGCGGTAAAATCACAGTTATTTTGATATCAGTATTTTGTGGATATATTCATGCTATTTAAATTGCGCGCACATATAACTGACATTTAATAATTAAAACGTGTTGCATTTCCGCTAATTAATTCATTACATTATGAAACATTTAGTTATAGAAATCTGATGCGATAATTTCTTTATCTTGATTCTTCTATTCTTACTTTATCGATTGGAAACAATAATGATTACATATTTCTTGTAACAAGCAGTTCATTAGGGGTTGTTTTCCTAACTGTTGGCGCAATCCATGATAATTTAAGCATATCGTGAAATAATGTAAGCTCCTCTCGTGGAGTTTCACATCGGGCGAAGTTATAATGCGGAAACAGTTTGCGACGGACGAGTCGGTGCGCGTTGAAATTAATAATAATGTGCATAGGGGCATCCCACACCATCTGTTGTATTAATTAATATGAAATTCTAAATCGACAACTGTCACGTCAAGAGCGGTGCTGCTTCTTTGATAATTAATAATTTGCAAAGCCATCGTAAATGTACGCGCTTTATTATTACAAACTCGGACGCAGCTCACGTAGAAATGTAAAATATCACTAATGGGATTAAAAGGCAGAAGTTTAGGTAGGACTTATTAAAATACGAGAAAAATGCCTAGCACGTGTTGAATACATTAATTTCTCTTATATAAATTAATTTCTCTTGCATAAATCAATGTCCTTTTTTTCTTTCTATTTAAAAAATTTTAGTACGGAAAATATTAAATTATTTCGTGATTAAATTAATAATGGTTTTCTTAGCATTTCAAAGAGATTAATTGTTTAAAACTTATAATATGGACGTTAATGTACCATTTGATAAGTTTTGTCAAAAATTGTAATAAAAAGTTGATTGATGTGCTATAAATTAATTCATTATTTATCCGTAAAATAATGAATAATTTAAGAACTCTAAAAAGTTACTTAATTGTGAAAGATTCATTAAAAAATATAATCTTGCGACATTACGTAAATAGTGATAATCGTCATAATTTGTAAAAGCCAAATTAAAATTTGTTTTATTAATATGAAATCGAAATGAATAACACATGTTACGTGACATCGCGCGACGAAGAAATAATACATCGACGCGACACGCATTCTAGCGAATAAATCATTACGATTTCTAGCACATTGTGCCCGTGCGATGCATATTGCGCGATTTCATATTTATTCGCGCAGATGACCGTGCACTGATAATAGGCTCCAAACACAATTTATCGGCGATAATTGACGAACCGGATTACATACGCGAATCGCGGCTGCGATTACTATCGGTATTTTTCCTTTCTCGATATCATCGAGAATTCGATATCCGCTTGTGACGAACGGTTCGATCTAATTAAACTTGCTCGCCGAGGGAGACGCAATTCATAGCACAATGTTTGCAAATAAAAGCAATCACCTTTTACTCGATACACAAGAGCTAATCGAAACTAGTTTTGGTCACTAATGATAAGTGTTTTGTTCATTTTTCTATTTCAATTAATAAATTAATAAAAAAATTAAAACTGAGAAAATATTAATGGTGATTTTGATGTTAGAAAAATAATCAAAAATTGATTAATTGTGAAAACAAGATGTCATTTCAATAAAGTATATGTATCAATAAATCCTTACTCACATGATAATATTTTTTTCTAAAAAAAACTGTTATCACCATCTAAGCATAAGGTTTAATATCCAGCGGAACTTTCTCATTATACCGAGTATTCTTATCCGCTTGCTAGAACAGCAAATGTTTGAGCGATTTATAATGCCGCCGGCAATATTTGCCTGGCAAACAGGCGAGAAAATTATTAGATAATTTCACGCGTTATTACAGTGTGCAGTCTTATCCGAGGCGAACTTTTGCAATGCATCCGTTAAAGCGAGCGGGAGTTCTTGTTTGCCATGCTATCGAGCAGCAATGATGGTAACGGCGTCAAGTCACGCGTACGGCTTGACTTACTCAGGGTCAATAGAACGCCGCGAGTTGTGGCATTTGATATCGGCCTCGGTCAAAGGATGAGATCAGGTGAATGCCTCAACCCCTCTTTCTCTTGCCGCCGAACGGGGAACCGTATGGGGGCCCGACTTGGTTCAAGAGCAAATACACCGAGGTCCACTTGGCTAACATTGAATAATTCATAGGGTCCGACCGAGCGTCTATACGCTATCGGTGCTATACCAATAACCATTGGACCGTTCATCACGGGCTATTGATTGGGGTGCCGCTTTCTGTTCTCTCTGCCTACGTTCCTACTGTCCACTCGCAGGAAACGAATACACTTTGCTAAATGTAACACACACTATATGACTCGGTCTTCTTTCCGCGCTCTTACACTTTCTCGATAGAAGTTTGGCCATATTAATTTGAAAGTTTTATTCGATACATAATTTTTTAATATTTTATTAATATATCAATAATCTTATTAAATTTGAAAACTTTGCTCAAGCGTGAGATGTTATAAATATATCCCGTCTTGTACGCTTCGGAGAAGTGTACATTACCATAAAGATATGTAAGTGAAAAATTAAATGTTAAGCTAAAAAAAAATGCAGATAATGTTGAAGATATCAGAAACTTTTTGCAAAAGTTTAATGAAGTTGTATTATCTCCCACGAGTAAAATTAAAATTTGTTCTCCACGAGAAGCCTTGTGAAGAACCTCGGTTACGAAACAAGTTTAAGGAGCATGCCTCATGAAACCACCGACTTTTAACAACGACGAGTTTTCTAAGACGTTAGTAAGTACGGCGCGAACGAAAAGCTAATTGGATTCTGTTATCTCGCTATTGGCCTCGCAAGAGGAGCGTAATTTTTCAACAAAGTTTGACTTATAAAACTATGAGTCAGTGTATATTACGCCTGTTTCCACCAATTCCTCTATTAACTTGTGTCTATCTCTGCATACTGCATTATAATATATAATAATATATTGATAAACAATATTCTTGAGAGAGTTTATAAACAATTCACTTTGTAATTATTTGTAT